ATTTAAACATTGTTAGTCAAGTCAATTTCTCCACATGTCCTCCTTTAACCCCTGCATGCTGGGCCCACCAACATCTTCTCCAGCTCACTTTTTTTTCTGTTTTATATATTTTTCTTTTATTTATTTTTGAGGGGGAAAAGCACTATTTTATTATATCCACAAACTATAGTTTCCCATGATATCTAGCTTGATGCCCTTCTCTTTCCAGCTCGTGCATGAATCTAGAGTCTTATATTGCCTCTGTACTGTGCTCAACTAAGTGACTAAATAAGGCAGGGGAAGAGTTTAAAGTTATATAAATGACAATCAGGATAACTACAATTATAGCAAATTGAAAAGTAACAAAGGCCAATGAACCCACTGACACAGAGTAAAGCAAGGCGACATTATCAAGTAGGGAATGGCCATTCTTTCCTTCTATTTATTTGTTTTTAAATGAATTACCCTGAGGTACAGTTACAGACTTACAAACTTTCGTGCTTACCTTTCAGTCATACAATGATTGAGTACCCATCCCTCCACCAGTACCCATTCTCCATCACCAATGATCCCAGTATCCCTCCCACCACCCCACCCCACCTCTATGGCAGGGCATTCCCTTTTGCTCTCTCTCTTCTTTTGGGTATTATGGTTTGCAATATAGGTATTGAGTGGCCATCGTGTTTGGTCTACAGTCTTCTTTCAGCTTGCATCTCCCATCCAGAGTGGGCCCTCTAAGCACCCTTTACTTAGTGGTCCCTTCTCTATCTGAGCTGCCTTTTTTCCCAGCACGTGAGGCCAGCTTCCAAGTCGTGAAACAATCCTCCTGGTACTTATCTCGACTATTCTTGGGTGTAAGTCTCCCGTTCTGTTACTTTATATTCCATAAATGAGTGCAGTCCTTTTATGCCCGTCCCTCTCTTTCTGACTCATTTCATTTAACATGAATCTTTCCATGTTGCTCCACTTATATGTAAATTTCATGACTTCATCTTTTCTAACAGCTGTATAGTATTCCCTTGTGTAGATGTACCAAAGTTTCTTTAACCAGTCATCTATTCTGAGCACTAACTCACTTTTTTAAAATTTTTGTATTTATTTATTTTTTAATAGTGAGGCACCATGAGGTACAGTTGTAGACTTATACATTTTCGTGCTTGGGTTTCGATTATACAATGATCAAACACCCATCCCTCCACCAGTGCGCATTTCACACCACCTCGGATCCCAGCATCCCCTCCCCCCCCCCCCAGCCCCTATCCCACCCTGCCTCTGTGGCAGGGCATTTCCCTCTCTCTCCTTTTGGGTGCCATGGTCGGCAAAAGAGGCATTGAGTGGCAATCATGCTTGGTCGACAGTCTACCCTCAGCATGCTCTCCCATCATGGGCGGATCCTTCCAACACCCTTTATTTGGTGTTCCCTTCTCTTTCTGAGCTCCACCTTCCCCTAACATGTGTGGTTTTCCTCCGGGTCATTGAGTAAAATTCCTGGTACTAATCTCTGCCATACTTGGGTGTTATTTTCCTATTTTGTTACTTTATGTTCCCCAGATGAATGCAATCTTTCTATGTCTATCCCTTTCTTTCTGAGTCATTTTGCTTACTAACTCACTTTTTTGTATTTTTTAATCTAAAATGTTTATTCTAAGTAACTGGAACTACAATAAATGGACTGTTCAAAGTTACATTTTTAGTCAGTTGATGTGCTTCCTAGGAAACATTGTGTTTTTATTTGACAGATGTTTTATTTTAGTTAACTATCATATACACAGTTACAAAGTTGTTGGTAATTGAGTTCCAATCATACAATGTTCCAACACCCATCCCTTTACCAGTGCACACTTCCCCACACCATTGTCCCCAGTTTCCCTCCCACCACCATAGCTTGGCTCTGGCAGACACTTCTTTCTCTCTCTTATTTTACTTGTTTTTCCTTTTAGGCACTGTGGTTTGCATTACTGTTACTGAAATGGTATCATGTATCTCATCTTACTTCCTTTCAGCACTGAGTTCTTTCTTGTCCAGAGTGATGTTTTCTAACTATCATTGTCATCCTGTCACGGTCACGGTCCTCCCGTTGTTCATCAATTTGCTCAAGCGGGCCCAGTAACGTCTCCATCATGAGACTTGCTGGCATATCAAATACGTCACGGGTAGCTTGCCAGGCTCTGCCGTGCGGGCGAGATACTCTCAGTAGCTTGCCGGGCTCTCCGAGAGCGGTGGAGGAATCGAACTCGGGTCAGCCATGCTGGCCACTTGTAAGGCAAACGCCCTACCACTGTGCTATTGCTCTAGCCCTTCATTGTCATCATGGTCCCTTTTTTTTTGTTCTAACTTCACTCTTCTTCCACTTTGTGGCAAGATTCCAACCAAGGACCAGTCTCCCTCTCCTTTGTTTCTACTGTCTTTGCATATATTCACATACTATTTTAATATCCCACAAATGAGTGCACTCTCTCTGTTTCTCCCCATCCAACTCCAGTTCATTTTTTCTGATGAGCCGCCCACCCCAATTTGTCCATCCCAATTGGATACTGAAACCATTTGAATCATGTGATTCATTTGAACCATTTGAATCCCACGTTTCTTCTCACTTTGTTTGCCACTTTTCCCTTAGGAAAACTTTTAGGTCCAATTTATTTATTTTATTTTATATTTTATTGGTTTGGGTACTGCTCAGGGATTACTCCTGACAGTTCACTCAGGAAGTCCTCCTGGCAGGGCTTAGGGGCCCATAAGGAATGCCAGGGATTGAACCCAGTTGGCTACATGCACTAGCAACTGTACTCTCTCTTTCTCTAGCCCCCCAGGGTTGATTTTAACTGCATTGCTGTATTCGCTCTCAACTCCTCTGTCCTGTTCTCTCTTCCTGCATCAAGTCCCCTTAACAGCACCCTAATTTTGGTGACATTTACATCTTGTTGCTGTGCCTTTGTCAGGGAGGCTGAACCTGGCAGGGGGAACATCCCTATCATGTTCCCTATTCCCCCACTTTAAAATCATAACCACAAACCTTAAGTAGCCTTCTTGTTTCTGCCTAGGCATCTTGCTACATTTTTCAAAGTCAGGACTGGTAGGAAGATGGTCAATAGAAAGTGAGGTTGGTGCTAAATATTAGATTTGCCTATTCCTGAGGCAGAAACATGAACATTTACTTTGATCTGTGAACTGGCAGCATTGTCGTCTATTGAAGCAGGTGGGAGATGGGCAGTTTAAGGCTAGATTCTTGGTATGACAAGAGTGACAAATGGTATTTGTATTAAAATGATCATTTTAACCCAACCTTTTCAAAGAAAGTCATCTAAAAATTGAGACCACAAAAGAATGTTCTTTCTCACTGACCATAGAGATAGGATGAGTAAATGACCTGGAAAATCATCTGATCCAGTTCTTTTTTTTAATCAAAGCACCATGAGCTACACAGTTACAGAGCTTTTCATGATTGATTTTCAGTCATGCAATGTTCCAACACCTGTCCCTTCACCAGTATACATTTCCAAACACCAATGTCCCCCATCCTAATTTTCCTCCCTCCAATCTCCCCCACCCCACCTGCCTCTATGGTAGGTACTCCTCTCTCTCTCTCTCTCTCTCTCTCTCTCTCTCTCTCTCTCTTACCATATTGGGGATTATAGTTTGTAATACAGGTACTGAAAAGTTACCATTTGTGACTTTACCTCCTTTCAGCTCTTAGTTCTTGTCCAGAGTGATCATTTCCAACTATCCTTGGCATAGTGGTTCCTTCTCTATTGTTTCTGCCCTCCCCCGCTCACCACTTGATGGTTAAGAATTCATAAATCTTATTGTGAACAATTAGTATTTCAGGGCATGAAGTAATAATACAGCAGGTAGTGTGTAGAAAATCTGTCTTTAATCCCCAGCAACGCATATGGTACTTCATTCAAGCCCGCCAGGAGTGATCCCTGAGTGCAGAGTCAGAAGTATACTCTGAGCACGGCAGAGTGTGGCTCAAAAACTTAAAAAACAAAGTTAGTTTAGATATGTTTGAGGCTTCAAATAGCCCAAGACCACTGTTTCTTTACCCATTGCTGTGCAACTTGCTTTTTAAACTTAAAATTACATATTGAACAACTTTTTGCTTCAGTACATATGTGTGTATCACAATTTATTTTAATCAGTCATTCGTGAAAGTACATTTGGGTTCATTTCCAATATGCTCTTGCTTTCAAAGCTGAACTGAATAGTTCACATACAACTTTGTATACTTTGTTTTGTGTGGTTCATTTTGAAAATTGGAATGAACACTCAAATTTATGAATGTTACAGGTTATAATTCATTTTCCATTTATTGTCTAAAAATCTTACACTATGCTGGATGTTTCAAACAATTGCTCCAAATTGGAAATTGTATTGTTTTTCTGCTAGTATCACATATGAAAAGGTTCATTATTTTTTCATTTTTAAAATATACTCTACAGGGCATATGTGTTTTGTGTGTGAGCTTATGCGTATGCATATATATGTGTGTGTGTATATATATACATATATACAGAGAGAGCACTGAAGATTTAGGTTTTGATTGTAGAAATGCATGACCATGTCCCTTATTTTTTCTGATCTTTTACTTTTGGCATATTATAGTAAGTTACTACAATGTTTGAAATTGTATAACAGTATCTAAGAGCTCTAAGAATTATTACTTCTGTATATGCCAATAAATTTACTTTTCCCATTGAAACATATAATGAAAGCAGTTTGTTTTTCCTCTGTTCTCAATTCACAGAAAAAAGCATTGCCATACACAACAGCTAAATTATAGTTATAGGGGAATTTGTTGATTTTATTAAGAACACCAAGCAAATGGCTTTATTTCATTTTCACAATTGTGTGAAATTAAGTGCATCCAATCATGATGAGTTATTTTTCTCATTCCCATAAGCTTATAACTTCTTGCTTTGTTTTGGATAAACTTTCTATTAATTATAGGCTGCTTAGTAGTCATTTAATGATGTTTTATGACTCAATATTCATTCTTTGCTTGTTGTTTTATTTCATGGAAGGTTTATGCCAGAAAAGAAGCCTTAAAGGGAGGTTTGGACAAAACTGTAAGCCTTCAGAAAGATTTATCAGAGATGCATGAATGGATGACACAAGCTGAAGAAGAGTACTTGGAGAGAGATTTTGAATATAAAACGCCAGAGGAATTACAAAAAGCAGTTGATGAGATGAAGGTAAAATAAACCAAGTAAAAAATAAAAAATAAGGGGACAGCAGGAATAGTGCAGGGGTTAGGGCACTTGCCTTGCATGTGGCTTACTCGGGTTCAATCCCAGCATCGCTATATGGTCCCCAAGCACCACCAGGAATGTTCCCCTAATGCTGAACCAGGAGTAAGTCCCAAACATTGTCAGTGTTGTGGGGTTATGATCAAAAGAACACCAGAGACCAAAACCAACAACAAAAAAGAATTTGAAGGAGTTTTTACTGTCACCAACTGGGAGGCTCTCCTGCTAGGTGTGAGTGGCAGCCTCCCAACAGAAGCTCTGGCTGTTGAAACCTAATAGGAAAAAACTCATCCTGGGACCCTGAGCACTTTGTTAGCACCTGGAAAACTTGTTTTGCCCACCAGGGTCCACATCCTGGCGCCCAGCAAATTCACACAACCTCAGCACAGCAAGCTTTGTTACAGAAGCGAGAAAAAGTGGTTATAGCAGGAGTCCATGAAGCAAACAATCCATCATCTTTAGCCATATCCCTTTAGGACCCTAGACCATTGTTCCTGTTTGCAATCCATGGATTGCTTTTGAGTCCTTGTGTGAAGTTCAGTGTACTTGTGTAATGATATAGTTCAATCAGCCAAAAAATAAACTAAAAAACTAAACTTCTTGTTCCTTCCTTTCAGCCTCTCCTTTACATTAGGTGTGGCCCAGAAGCCAAAGAAAAGGGGAAAAAGAGAAAAATATGCAACAGTACTTGAAATCATGATCTATACAATCTGTTCTTTTTTTGGCTTCATAGTTGCAGTAGATTTTGAATTAACTTTACCTTTAGCTTGATATCTACTGTAGGAAATTCGTAAAGTTTTCATCCACTTAAATAAATTGTGTTCACTGTATAAATATTGATAATCCTATTGAAACATAATACCCCTTGAATTATACTACTGTACTAGCAGATTGGGGTTAGGTAATCACATTAGATTTTCCTAGCTGATGAAAATTCAAATGGAAGCAATGTTAAAGTATTACTGTTGAAAGTGACAGCTGAGAATTTCATTATCAGTCCATATTTGTTTGGTGCTTAAGGGCATGTTTAAGAATGTAGAAGAAGCATGTTATGTTAACTGATGCCCTTTACTGTGGGTTAAAAGAACTGACTTCTTGAGAAAGAAGAGGGAAACTGCATAATTGACTTTAAGAGCAAGGAAACTGGTCTGATGCATGAATCCACCTATCTTCAAGCTTGATTACAGGAAGGCAGTAATAGTACAGTTGTTATCATGCATAATAGTAGCAATGCAGTGTGGTCTACAGTTGCTGTTCTGTGTAAGTTTCTCTTTAACAGAGATGGCCAAGGGCATAGGGCAGAATAGTACATCAGCTTCACATGATACCAGCAGCTTCTTTCTTTCAATGATGTAGTGTCAGTTACTGAAAACAATTTTCTATGATCAAAATATGGTGACGGATAGAGCACTATGAAGACTTTAATATGTTAATTCTGATTTGACTTTATTAATGACTGTTGGATTGATTTAAGTCTTCATCTCTCTGAATCATTTGTAAGTGAATTCAACTCTGGATTCAGAGATAATTTCAAACCTAATTCTATAAAAATATTTGTTCCTTTATTGTTCACAGATACTTAATTATGTAGGTGCACATAATTTTCCAACTACAGCGTTCTGTTGTAAAAAATTGTCTTTCCAGTGCCCACATTTTATTCTCTCTCAATGTGTGGGACTAATTGGGGTTTGATACAGAATGTATTTATACTAGTCAGATCTTATCAGAACTGCTGAGAAAGAAAGTATATGACATACGTCTTCTAAAGTAAACTCAGTACTAAGAGAATATTAGAAAGAATATTAAGAGAATATTCTTTATTTTTCAGAGAGCTAAGGAAGAGGCACAGCAAAAAGAAACAAAAGTGAAACTTCTTACTGAGTTTGTCAATGACGTCATTGCCCAAGCACCACCCGCAGCACAAGAGGCCTTAAAAAAGGAACTTGAAACTCTAACTACCAACTACCAGTGGCTCTGCACCAGGCTGAATGGGAAATGCAAGACTTTAGAAGTTAGTGACATTTCTAGATCTTTTTCATTTATAAGTTTCTGTGAGGTCATATGAGGAAGGACTCTGATATAAGGCTGCTTAGATTCAAATTCCTCATTCCAATAGTCACTAATTTGTAACTTTAGGCCACTTACCTTGTGTAAACTTGTTTTTTTCTTTCTCTCTTTTCTGTGTAAACATGATTGTTTTATTTCTGGAAGGTATTCTATGCATAGTCATAGCATATTGCAGAGGTAGCCTATGCAATATGAGAAGCAAAAATAAATTCTGGTTTCATTTTTTTTTACTATTGATTATTTTTATGCATTTTTTATTGAATCACTGTGAGACAGACCCTTATAAAGCTATTCATGATTAGGTTTCAGTCATACAGTGTTTCAGCACCCATCTCTCCACCAATGTACATGTACATTTCCTAGCACCAGTGTCCCCAGTTTCCCTCCCATCACCCCCTACCCTATCCTCAGCCTGCTAAGCTTGTTTTTTAATCTCTGCAGTCGTCATTAGAAAACTTAATATGGGTGTTGAGAAAATTAAATAACTATGTTCTAGTAAAAGAACTTCAACTGAGCAGTTATCTTTCTGAAATATTCCAGGGCCAGAGAGATAATATGGGTGTGAAGGCAATTGTCTAGCATGGGGCTGACCCTGGTTTATCCACGGCATTGCATATGGTTCTCTGCACCACCAGAGGTAGCTTTGAGCACAGAGCCAGGAGTAAGCAGTGGGCAATTCTGGGTGTGGCCCTCGATCCCACCATCCCCACATTATACCATTGTCTTCGGAAGCTTACTGCTATGTAGGTGCCAACTCTCAGTGCCAGGATATGGCACATGTGGTAGAGCACACAGCCCTACTTTTAATCACTGGCAACACTTGGCCCCTTAGCATGGCTATGAATGACCTATTCAAAAGTACATTTTTTAAAAGTGGAGAAAAAGTGGAGAGATTTCATATCATTTTTCCTTTCTAATTTTTTGGATGCATTTTTGTTTTATTTTGTTTTTTTTCTTTAGTGCTTTACCATTCTGTTCTATTTTATTTGTCTGTAATTTGCTTTCATTTGGCTTTATCACCTGGTATAATAAGAGCAGAAGGTGACTGCTATTTTGAGTGGTCTCCTTTATCCTTTTGAAGATTTTTATTTCCCCCAATCTTTCCATTTGTTCTGAGGGAAACCTTCCTAGGAGATAAAAGAAAATACATTTATCCTTTGTTCTGATTCTCTATATTTCCCTTTATTTTATGTATTCTGCATAATTAGTTTTAAAAAGTCTTTAAAATTCTCAAATTCTCTCAACTACCTAATGTGTAATTTATCCTTTGATAATATATACACTCATCTGTTTATATAGGTGTTTACATGTTTATTTTTCTCCAAAGGCCATATTGTAATTGGTCTTTAATTGTCTTTAAGATTCTAATTATTTCATCTTTTCTTTTGTTCTTTGCTTTCATGTAATATTATTTCTTCCTGTAGTTAAACAGCTTAAACTTTACGGTCTTTTTGGTTGTGAAAACTTAATGAGTAACAACCATGAAATGCATGTAATTTTCCAGTTACTGCAACCTTCCATATAAAACCTGATTTTCTCCTAAAAGTTGGCTTCTTGCTGAATTCTTCAGTATGATCCCATAAGTTTTCATTCTATTTTACATATTAAATTTTCATATCATTTAAGTTTTAATGACAGGCTTTATTAACATCCTCCACTAGTTTAATATTGTGGTTTCAGCAGTTTATACAGAGATAGGAAGGGGGAAAGGATCTCATAGTCTTTCTCTCCCACTCAATTTCTAGATTGTGATTTTCTAGCATGTAAAATAATGAAAGATAATAGGGGATGATGTCTTGCTTTATATGAGTTTCCTTTTTCTTTGGACTGACAATAGTCATTATGCATTTTGCTAAGATACATAGATACCAATGATGAGTCTGTCATCATCAAACTTCATAAATTTGCTCCACTGGTCTAACTTGCTCTCTGAAGAGTTGATATAGTCTATTGGAGATGCCGGTTAGCTTTGACTTTGAACATGGCACCTTACAATTTTTAACTTGAACTTCTGGCTGTTTCTGCTAATAGGTTTCTACTGCATTCCCTGAAAATCACATCCTTTTGACCCATGCTTCTGAGATCCCCTGGAGCCTACCCATTTCAACTCAGATTGGTCTCAGCCTTCTCCCATAACTCTTGTGTGAGAAACTTAAAAATATAGTCCTTCATTCCTCTTTGGCTCCATCAACAGCTCCCCAGGGAATGTAGATCACTCATCATTTTGTGAGCATTGCTGTGCACTTGATGAGTGATACTCTTTCAGATTCTGTAAAGAAAAGCAACTAGATGAGTTTCCTCTAATGGTCTTTCATGAAAAGGTGAGGAAGAAGTGGCTAACTTGACAAATGAGCTCCACTCTTCATGTTTCCCTAATGCCTTCTTTATCAGCTTTCTCTCTTTAGAACAGGCCTTGTAGAAATATGTACCAAAAATTCTTTCTACATTGAAGGTTAGTAACTTAGCCTTTTTATTTTATTTTATTTTTTGATTTTTGAACTCTAGTTCACAGTCTCAAGAAATGAAATCCCTACGGGGGACTGTTTTTTTACCATGAAACTAAACATTTATTATAAAATTATCAAAATTAATTTTGAAAGCTATATATCAGAATATGAGGCATGGATTTCTTCATTGACTACAACTTTTGACTCTTAATGTCAGTGTTTTTTCTCAAATGGCTTGTGGTATTTCTCATGTCGACTAGAGTAAGAATTGTTTATACTGCAAATTCTTTTGCTCTGGGCAGATAGAAGGGTCCTGTCATAAATCTTTTATTTTTATTTCGACCAGGGTCCTCGAGATGTTATATTGTGTGCTTAGGTGTGACAGAAACTCTGGTTTCCATCTTTTTTAATGAGTGGATTCATATTTTCCAGCCCAAATCTCCAAGATTGCTATTTTTTTATTTATTCCCTATACTTTAGTGAGGGACAGTTGCATAATTCTTATTTTCAGGTCAGGTAGCACACAATGTGTTACTTTTTCTTTTCTCTAGAATACATACCAGGTCTCTCTCTTTTCTCAGCCTGAGACACTGTTGAACATGCCACCTTTTCCATCACACACTCATATACTAGTGTTTCAAGTTTGGTTCCACAACCTCTAAAGCTTGATTTTCCTCTTTATTGTTGTCACGTGAGGACTTTTCATTCATGTTTCATAAATACAATAAGTGTTTAAAATGTTTTCCTGTATGGATTATCTGTGATCCTAAATTGGCTAAGCAGGGCTGTGGTGTTTGTCACAGCAACGCCATCTGCCAATTTGGAAGTTTTAATTTATCTTCTTTTCAAAGCCACATGGAAGTCTGTCATTTCAAAGTTATTTTGAGTTCCAAACTGTTTAGTTTAACCATTAGTTTCATTACTTTTAGCTCCACCTCGGGCTGCAATACTGTTTTCTTTTGCAAAGGTGACCCATAAAGCTGGTGTGTTCAGCCACTCCAGCTGTGTCCTTCAGATGCATTGAGGGCACAAGAGGCCATCCATCCTGATGGTTAAATCAGCAACGTAGTTCATTACCCAAGTCTGTACCAGAGTTAATAAGACACATTACCAATCACATATCCTTATCTTCAAAGCTCTATAGTACCCTCGGGTATTTAAAAAGATATTTATATTTTCCCACTGGGATCTTTGCCCAGAAGGAAGACAGCCTGTAGTCCAGCAGGAGCTGGAAATGACCCAGATTTAAGATTTCTATCACCTTTTAAAGAAAAATACTTCATTTCTCTTTCTGTGATAAACTGTACATAAAATACCAAGCAAGTATTTATTGGTAAGCTAGCAAGGCAGCTTCAAACGATACTGTGATTCCGTTCGGCAGGGAATGTCCTTCTTCTCTTGCAAAAGCTAAAAAGCAAAGGTGACGTATTGAAAAAATCACAGTTTTTTCCTAAAATTAAGCCTCCCCTTAGGCTTCATTTTTGCTGCTGGGGTAGGGGGTTAGCAGGTAGTGGAGATTGCACTAAGAAGTTTAGAGATACATCGAGAAATTGCAATATGAAGGCCACAGAATGAGCTTATTTACAAATTTTTCTCTGCTGCATCTTCCTGCATTTCCTCCCAATTGGTGCAACTATTGTCCATAAATTTGACTTTCTGAAACTTTTCTTTAAAAATACATTATCACATATGTGAATGCCTAAACAACATCTTGCTGAGTCCTTGCTTGTTTTTGAGCGTTACATAAATGGTAAACTTTTCCAAATCATTTCCTTGAGTATTCTTTTTTGCCCACCATGTCTGAGATTCATCCTTGTTCTGTTTGAGTAATTTATTCATTTTAACTTTGCTATTCTCTGTTTAAAAACGAGGCAGTATTTTCATATTTTCTTGCCAGTGGACATTGAGATTGCTTTTTTTTCCAATTTGGGTTATTACAAAAAGTGCTGAAATGAACATTTTTGTAGACTTTTTTGTTCTCCATGCAAAGCAGTTTCTCTAAGGATGTGTACTGAAAAATGAAGTAGCAGGGTTTTCAGATATATGGACAGTTCCCCTTTACTGAGAATGTCAAGTTCTTTTTTAAAATGACCATTGCAGTATAGACAGCCATAAATAAAAGCTTGTGTTAATATATAACATCTCCCACACTTGGAAAACCTCAATCATCTCATTGTATCAGTCAAAATTACATAAACGTATATACCTCATTGTAATGATGATTTATATTCCCATATTACTAATGAAGTTGAATACATTTTCATACATATATTGGATACACATGCATCTTTTAGCTTGAAATACTGGTGCAGGATTTTCTTTTATTGTTCTGTTTAGTTGTTATTTATCTTTTGAGTTGTTGGCATTCCTTTTATAGTCTTATTCATCTGCTGCAATTTTTGCAATTGCTTTCTTCAAGTTTGAGGCTATTTTTCAAATACTAATGAATAGCTTTTAATTTTAACGGAATCAAATTCATTCATCTCCTTCTTGTGAGCAGTTTTTCAAAAATGTCTTAAGATATCCTTCCTTGTTTCAAGGTCAGAAAAATAATCTTCAAGCTTTCCTGATATCAGTCTTAAAGTTCTGATTTTTAAAACCATGAATAATTTTTGAAATTAATGTTATAAAAATGTCTGTCAAAATCCATTTCAAGTAATGTTTAAATAGTATTTCTGTTACAAAAATAAAGGGAACAATTTGAATTATGGAATAATCTGTGTTCATGGTGATGTTTACTATGAATTTATAAAACGTACAATGAAAAATAATCTTGAAAATATGGTCACTTATATAAACCTCAATTTTTCCTTTAAATAGAATGGTATAGTTAAATCATACTTTTACTTTAGTGTCAAATTATGCGTGATAAAACTTAAAGTGTAGCACAGAAAATGAGTAATAATTTATGTAATAAATATTAGATTTATATGTGCATTTTATGTTTTTATTTTTATATTTCCCAGTCAGAAATGTTGATGAGTTATTTTTAAAGTAAATTACTGCATCTTGAATTTATTCATGCAACAAAATATTTCTTCAATGATTTGTAATTATAGACATATTAGATCATCAGATCTAAATGACAGGCTGCGCCAAAGCTGAAAGATGTAAGATAGATACATTTTTCTCAGAAGTTTTAAAAATGGAAATGCAAGAGTCTCAAATTTACTTTTCTATCAAAATATTTCACATGCAATATATTTTTCTTTCTTAGGAAGTTTGGGCATGTTGGCATGAGTTATTGTCATATTTGGAGAAGGCAAACAAGTGGCTAAATGAAGTAGAATTGAAACTTAAAACCACTGAAAATATTCCAGGTGGAACGGAGGAAATCGCAGAGGTTCTAGGTGTAAGTTGAAAATTAACCCAAATCGTGACAATTTATATGCAGTATAACGTATGTCAAGTACCAAATAGAAAATGATTCAAAGAAAACTGCACAGAATGTGGTTGCTGTCTCTCACTCAGCACTGGCTCTTTAAGAGTCATTGTTTTCTGCAAGAAATTTCTAGTCTAAAGATTTTAAAAAGAATTTCAGGAATTACTTTCCTTTTACTGTGTCACTAAATTCTGTTTTGATACTTTGTCTACTTAAACCCATTGCATGCCCACAAAGATATTTTAAATGTACAATTTTGCTCTTTTTGATTACTCTTAAAAAGGGTGAAATTATAAAACATTCTGTCCAGTTTTATAAAATTACGGAATTTATATATATATATTCAACAATTTGAAATAATACATTTATACTATGGGCTGGAGTGATAGCAGAATGGGTAGGGTATTTGCCTTGCATGCAGCCAACCCAGGTTTGATTCCTCTGTCCCTCTCAGAGAGCCCGGCAAATTACCGAGAGTATCCTGCCCGCACAGCAGAGCCTGGCAAGCTCCCTGTGGCGTATTCGATATTCCCAAAACAGTAACAAGTTTCACATTGGAGACTTTACTGGTGCCCACTCAAGCAAATCAATGAACAACTGGAGGACAGTGCCACAGTGCTACATTTATACTTTATGGAATGGAAAAAATTGATGTACCGCATGGGCAAGCTCTGATGTTGGAACTGTATAAATACTTCATACATTTTAGTGCATACTATTTTACTATCTTTTTAAGTTTGATTTTGAAGTCGTTAAAAAGTTAAAATTTCAGGTTCAGAAAGATAGTACAGGGATTGAAGTTGCTTTTCTAGAACCGCAATGATCCCAGTTCAAATCTCTCAAACCACAAGCACCTCTGGGGTTGCCCCTGGCACAAAGCCAGGGATAGTACCTGAGTATCATGGGGTTGGTCTCAATGTCCCACTCAAGTTAAAATTCCAAGTGCAAATTTAAAGTGTTGATTTATGTGAATTTTTACTTTCCATCAATCATTTAAATTATATATATTTTTATGGAGCGATAGCACAGCGGTAGGCTTTTTGCCTTGTGCGCAGCCAGCCCGGACGAGCCGGGTTCGATTCCTCCTCCCCTCTCAGAGAGTCCAGCAAGCTACTGGGAGTATCTCACCTGCACGGCAAAGCCTGGCAAGCTACCCGTGATGTATTTGATATGCCAAACACAGTAACAAGAAGTCTCAAAATGGAGACGTTACTGGGCCCGCTTGAGCAAATCAATGAACAATGGGAGGACAGTGTTTGTTTTTGTTTTGTTTATTCTACTATTGGTCAATTCTTTACATAGAAGTAATACGCAATTTGACATTTTTGTGTTATGTGTGGGGACTTATCTAGCCTCTGTGTGAATCTGGTAAGATAATATAAATGTGATAAAATTGTGAAGGACATATAAAGTGTTTCATTAAAATAGAACTGGAATCTTAGAACATCATTGCCGAAACTTAGGTATCATTATATCTAATGTCCTTATTTTCCCAAGAGAATTATAAAACCTTAAGAGGTCAGAGAATAATGAGAGAATTCTTAAGTAGTCATTTTGGTCCTGTCTCATTCAGTGGTGAACACTGAACATTGATCAATATTCATTGATACCACTGATTCAACAGTGGTGCTATGCAACTTTCAATAGGAAAACAAAATGCTGTTATATTGTATGTTGAAAGAATGATGTTCTGAACAAAGGATGTAGTCATTCTGTCATCTTATTGAGTGACAAGATTGAAAATCATCATGTTCATTTTTTACCACCTTCCAGTCAAAATATACCTGCTCTACATCTGAGCATTTAATAGGTGGAAGTGGGAAGGACAAAGGGATTTTCTTTAAACAGACTTTGAGTGCCTTTGTGCCTTTGGTAAATTTAATAGAAAACTCTGCTCCAGACTTCTAACTTTATATATTGTCAGAAGCATGCCACTTGGCTGCCCCAGCTTTAAGGAAAATTGACAAATTGACTATCTCACTGTTTTCAAATAATCTATTTGAAGTATCATTTTTTTTCAAATAGAGAGCTTTGAAGAATCAGGTGACTGTGAGGGATTTTTACGTTTTACCTATATAGAGCCTTGTCATGAGTTCATGAAGACTTACCAAGAGTAACACACTATTTTTTTAATTTAATTTCAATTTTATGACTTTTTAATGATAATTTATTACATTTAATATTCTAGCACCAATCTCACAACCTTCACACCTTCCTACCACCATATTTAGAATGCTTCCACTCTGCTCCCCAAACTCTGTCCCCAAGCAGGACCTAAATAATTTGTTTTGTACTGCTTGTTATGAATAATTAGCTAAAAATTATCCCAAAAAGTTTCTTTAGAGGAAAGAACACACTGTTTTTGGAGGTAACAATACTATTTCATGATTTAAGATCACAATGAAATGATAGTTTAAATAGCTTGTAACTTGATCATATGTAAGTTTCTAGGACTTTGTTAACTCAATGCATTTAGAAAAAGAAGAGATAATGTTATTATATGTGTGTTTCAGTCGCTTGAACATTTGATGCAGCATTCAGATGATAACCCAAATCAGATCCGCGTATTGGCACAGACCCTAACAGATGGTGGTGTCATGGATGAACTGATCAATGAGGAACTTGAGGCATTTAATTCTCGTTGGCGAGACCTACATGAAGAGGTATGATGCTATGAGTGAGAACTCTCTTTAAACTGATTTGCATGCATGTTTTGCTTTTAGGCCCCTCCAAAATATGAGCACTATTTGAAATATTACCTCAGCTCTTAGGTTTGCGAATTGGTCAAATGTTAGACATGACTATTTGCTGTATAATATCATTTTTTACAAATTGTTTTGCCTTATCAAAATATTATAAAGTATGTGTTTTGATGTGTCAACTGCAGTAGCTTATTCAAATCCACCAAAAGTAAAGAGTTAATCTGATTCTCAGAATTACATCTTCTCAGACCAGAGAGATCTTTCTCTACCCAGCAGTAACCAGTAAGTGCAGGTATTCTTGTGTATCACTTCCCCCCTCTCTTTCCTTCCAGACTTCCCTCCGCTCTTCCTCACTCATTTCTTCTTCCTTCCCTTTCTCTCCTTTCCTATGGACCTACCATGGTTATGATCCCATGACTTTATTTGTGGCCCAAACCCAGGTAGAAATTACCCTTTCTAAATAATACAGCAAATCATTATTACTTTTTCCTACTTAAAAATGTATGCACCAGGTCTGATAATCTCAAATAAAACTGAATGAAAATAATCTCTCTCCCACTCAGAATTTTGTGTACATGTTCCTAAATTAAGAATGTATTATTGGGTCTGGAGAAATACGACAGCGGGTTGGGCACTTGTCTTGCATTGGGCTGACCCAGGTTAAATGCAAAACACCCTGTATGGTCCCCCAAACCCTGGTAAGGGTGATCCTGGGTGAAGAAAAATGTTTTAATCAGATTATTTGCCAAGAAGAAAAATAGTTCTGAATGGAGTGTAATGTTTTTCTTTGTGCTCCATTATTGTGGTTGTGAAAGCTTCCCTTCAAATATTTTGTTTCTTACACACATTTCTGATCAACAACCTTCGAGCGCACTCCATCAACCTCAAGGAGATCAACCTGAGGCCGCAGATGTCCCAGGTGCTTCCCAGAGACATAGGCAGTTTCCTGTTTGTCAGTGTGCAGATCGTTACAACATGCCAGTCAACCAGAAAGCTTGCACTTTATATATAAGAAATGTATTCCAGAAAGACTGTAAACCAATTCCTACAACCAAATCATGTTTAGATGATTAGATTAAAAGAACCCTAAATACCTTCAAAAAGCAAAGCACTGCGACTTGGCCCGGCCTTTACTGGGAACACCTATAAAGGTGATTATAGGCTGCCCCAAAAGACACCATTCCTCTTGAAGAGTCCAGCAAGCTACCGGGAGTATCCCACCTGCACGGCAGAGCCTGGCAAGCTCCCAGTGGTGTACTTGTATGCCAAAAACAGTAACAATGACAGTCCTCATTTCCCTGACCCTGAAAGAGCTCCCAATATGCCATCGGGCTACACTAGCATGTGACAGGGATGAATGGAGACATTACTGGCGCCTGCTCAAGCAAATTGATGAACCATGGGATGGCAGTGTTACAGTGATATAGTGATACACACGTTTAGTTGCAGTTCTATCCAGGGTCACAAACTTGGTTTTGTGTTCACCTTGTCTCATACAGTTTTAGTTGTGGTGATTGCACATTCATACACTTGGTTGTTCTGAGTGGATGATCTCACACTTTGTTTTGGTAGCCTATGGCAGTGCCACATAAATCATATTGAATAAGAAAGGCGATATCAGGGATTGAACTTGCCGAATATGTTGAGACCAGTGATCAGCATTTGAACTCCAATGGGGTCCTCTGAAATCTCTTTTTATTTACCAAGAAGATCTTAAGCTATATGTGAGACACTATTCTAAATTTAGGTGTTCAATAAGGGAAAAAAGCCCATCTTCATGACATAAGGACATTGGTTTGTTAAGGCAAAATACAGATTTCTTAGTCATAAAAAATCCTCTTAAGATGCAAACGGTATGTTTTACATAATTACAGAGGGATAGTGAACATGGGAAATGGTTGCTTATTTACGTGAGGAAGCTAAGGAAAGCCTTTTGGGCTAGCTTTCCTAGAGGAGAGTAATTGTTAGCAACATTTGAAAATTAACTGGTATTGAAAACTAGACTTTTGGTGGCAATCACAGTGCAGTATACAGATGTGGATTCATAAGACTATACCCTCGAATCTTATATTTTAAACCAGCGTTTCTTCTAGGGAAAAAATCCCCTTAAACTATTAAAATTAAAACTAGATATAGCCAAATTGCAAGTTGTAACAGGGCAATTACTGGCAAAAAACAATGAAGTGAAAATGAGTGTTGCGATATGCAGATGCCTGGTACGCAAGGCGGTACTTTTATTACAGCATCCTGACAAATGAGGGAGTTTCTGAAGCTGAGTCTGATCAAATGAGTGCAAACAGGATTCCTGAGTAAAATGCTTCACAGAGAGCCTGGATCATATTCATGCTCACAGGGGAGCCACAGACAGGAAAGGGCAGGGGCTGCATTCCTTGTGTGATGGATCTGAGGCTACTGATGGCAAGAAACAGGGAAAGGGGTCAGACCAATAGTACAACAGATAGGATGCTTGCACGCAGCCTGCCCGGATTTGATCTCTGGCATTCCATATGCCCCCTGAGCCCACCAGGAGTGATCCTTGAGTGCAGACTCAGGAGTCTGCCTCTGAACACTGCGCAGTGTGACACCCCCATCCCCTCACAAAAATAAAAAAAAAGAAACAGGGAGATTGCCAAAGTGAGACCAAGAAGTGATGCTTTATTAGACAATTTAATGATATAGCCAGTGGGAAAAGGTGCAGAGAGTGAACACTACAGGAGAACAACTTTTTTCTTATTTTGCTTTTTAGGTAACACCGGGCGATGCACAGGGGTAACTCCTGGCTCTCCACTCAGAGATACTCCTGGCAGTGCTCAGGGGACCATATGGGATGCTGGGAATCAAACCCGGGTCGGCCACATGCAAGGCAAATGTCCTACCCACTCTGCTATCACTCCAGCCCCGAGATCAACTTTTTGTCTGATTGAGGGAATGAGGTATCTGCTATTTCCCATAAACAAAATTGAGATGGCCATACAAAAATTTTATACTAAGGAAGAGATAGTACAGAGGTGAAAGCACTTGGCTTGCATATGGCTGATCCCAGTTTAATCCCAGAACTACAAGTGGTGCCCCCAGCATCATCAGGGATGATCCCTGAGCACAAAGCCAGATGCAATCCATGAGCACTGCAGGGTGACGCCCCAACCCATGTCGTAAAACATCCTTTTGTATGTACAGGATCACATTTTGCTTTTCATATTCATTGAGTCGGCAGTATCTGCTTAAAATTGATGCCAAATACAAGCAGATCCTGGGTCAACAACTCAAGCAACAGGAGCCCCTATGGAGTTGAGACCAATAGAGCAAGTGAGGGAATGAAAAATGGAAAGGTTGACCACAAGTCATGTATTCCCCAAGTCTTTGCTATGTGTGACTGGGGTTAGTTCCACTTGAAGCTTTAAAAGAAATTAGGTGGAACCCGATACTTTCATGCTTGCTCCCCATTGTACCATTGAGTTTAAGGAAACTAAGGAAACCGGGGTGTTTATTCAATATTCTTCCACTTTTGTGCAAGGATTTTATTTATATGCATTAAAAACCCCAGTACGTCTGGGCAGGGTTGTAACTGTGGGTGGTGACCTAGGCTTCAGGGGAATTTGGAAGTCACAAACTTTCCTGCTTATGTGACCTATTTGCTGTAGAACTTAGAATACCCACGTGGGATTATTCCACACATAACCCAGTCAAAGAAAGATATGCCACCTTGAAGTTGGAATGCTGACTGGTTATTTATCAGACTATATTCGAGCTGTATTCAGGCTATAGAGAGACCACTGTGGACACATCAGAGAAAAAGAATCATGGGGTGAATTGAAGAATTTTACCCCCAATTAAGTTTTAGGGTGAGGAAATAGTAGCTAGATAGGAGATGGTGAGAGAGAAAAAGGAGACTTGAATGAAAATTAAGTCGCTTGGTAGTTTCATAAAATGGAGTCATGAAAATAGTCCAGTGCAATAGAAACCCAGTAAGATGAAAACAATTGGACTAAATGGACCTCACCTAGGATCTTGAATGAAGCAGGCTGGTTTTAGGGAGATTATTGTGAGGGCGAGAGAAGAGAGTTAAGTCTCCACTCCCCTGGTTGTGGAGTTGAGGGAAGACCCTAAGGTCACATGATCACAGGGAGGGGAATGCAGGAACCTTTGTTGTCAAAGTAGCAGAGAAATTTAATTTTGTAGGACAGCAATAATGTATGTTTTTATACTTCAATGGTATTTGGCATGAACTGTGGTATTTTCCCCAAATAAAAATTCAAGGGCACAGCAGATTTTGTTTGAGCCCCAATTTTGTTACCACCAAACTGAATTGTCAAAACCCTGAGTATTGAATCAGATATAGTTGCTTGCACTAGTCCCTTTATTAGTCAAGGTCAGAGAAGTCACAGAAACTACCTAGAGGCTAGTAAGGAAGTTTCAACACAAGAGTCGAGTCTTTCTTGAAAATCGAAGAAAGACAATTTAAAACTTAGTCCTCTAATTATTTCTTTAGCCCCTTCAGTGGTTTCTTCCCAAACTCCATCCACATTACATCAGAATTCCAGTCACTTTGTTTTTTGTTGGGCCACGCCCGGGGGTGTTCAAGGTTTACTCCTGACTCTGTGCTCAGAGATCACACCTGGTAGGGCTCAGGGGACCATGTGTGGTTCTGGACATCAAACTTGGGTCATGCTTTTCTCACTCGACTATCTCTGTTACCCAGAAAAAACAGTCCCTTGGACTGAATATACACCGAGAAAAATCCAAATTATTTGTTTAGCTAATATATTATTAGATATTTCTTTATTATGGAGTACTTTGGCATTTATCCAAGCATCCTGTTTAAGGGACCTGAGCCATTGTCCAGTGGGTAGCGTGTTTGCCTTGCAATGCGATTGGCCCGGGATCGATACCATACATCCTAGATAGTCCCCTGAGCACTGCCAAAGTAATTCCTGAGTGAAGAGCCATGTGTAACCCATGAG